CTTCTTCTTCTTCTTCTTCTTCTTCTTCTTCTTCTTCTTCTTCTTCTCCTTCTCCTCCTCCTCCTCCCCACCCCCCCGTCCCCTTTTGCCAAGAAGCTCATTTCACGGATAGCAATTTGGGGTCCCAGGGAAAACGGTAGAGAGACTTGATCCCGTGCCAGCAAAATCTGCCTGGCTACAGGGTGTGCCTGACGGATCTAACATTGACACTAATTATTCAATTACCGTGGAATGTGCTTAACGCTCCGCTGGAAGTGACTTGGGTTCCCCTCTTGGCTCACCGTGCAGACAGCTGTGGTTCCGCAAACATCTGCCTGGGGCAACAGAGGCCGAGGAACCCGGGGATCTCTTACAATTGCCTCCCCCAGTGGCCCTTTCATTTATGAAAGGGGAGGGGGGACGGTGCCTGAAGGGGCTATCAGAATCCAGGAGTTGAGGACCGTATCCAGTAGCGGGATTAATTTTTTTTTTTTTACTACGGTTCTGTGGGTGTAGCTTGGTGGGCGTGGCAGGGGAAGGATACTGTAAAACCTCCATTTTCCCACCTACCCACCCCACTCCTGGGGGAAGGCAACGGCAAAATCCCCATTCCCTCCCCACCCCAGTAACCTGCTTTCCGGCTCCGTTCTCCTATGCAGGGCAACCAAAGAAGAGCCAGCCGATCAGCTGGGACTCAATGGGAGGCGGAGAATAGAAGATAGGGTTGGCGGGGCCAGTTGGAGGCGGTATTTGCCAGTTCTCCCAACGACCCAACATTTCCGCTCCCGGGTCTCCAGAACCGGTCAGAACCTGCTGAATACCACCTCTGACTGTATCCTTAGCAACTTCTCAAGTGGGCAAGATGACAGGAACTGTACTGAAAATGTGAAGAAGAAGCAGGATCTTTTCCCCGTCTCTCAGTGTCTGGCTAATCAAACGTAGGTTTTTAAGATGACATTTGCACCCAAGATAGCAATAGCCCTTAGATTTATATACCGCTTCACGGTGCTTTACGGCCCTCTCTAAGCGGTTTACAGCGTCGGCCTCTTGCCCCTCAACAATCGGGGTCCGCATTTTGCCCACCTCGGAAGGACGGAAGGCTGAGCCAATCTTGAACCTTGGTGAGATATTTTTATTGAAGAAAAATAAATCTCATTTTAAGTTTTCGAGACTCTCCAGTGATTCTCACTGGGGAGCTTCTGCCTTCTGGTGTCAATCCATTTGCCTCCATCCTCACTCAAGGACAAAATAGTAGCAGAGTAACAAGAGTCGGGAGGGACCTCGGAGGTCTTCTAGTCCAGCCCCTTGTTTAGGCAGGAAACCTTATACCATTTCAGACAAATGGGTGTCCAATCTCTTCTCGAAAAGTTCCAGTGATGGAGCATCCATCCACAACTTCTGGAGGGAAGTAGTTCCACTGGTTAATTGTTCTCGCTGTTAGGAAATTCAGGTTGCTTCTCTCCTTCATTTCTTACCATCCATTGCTTCTTGGTTCTGCTTGCTGGAGAATAGATTGATCCCCGTCTTCTTTATGGCAATCTCTTCAATATTGGAAGACTGCTCTAGTCCTTTTTCCTCCCCGTTAAACTAGACACCCCTAATCTCTCTTCTGCCGGCTCCCCTGTTTTCCCCAAGGAATGCAACCCTGCATTCAAGCAGGCGTCCTTTCCGCTCCTTGGTTATTTCCTGCACATCTGGGATTGCTGCTTCGTGGATTGTCAGCTGACAATTCCGTGACAGACATCCGGCGGGGAAACTGTGATTGAGTAGAGCCCGTAGGCTGGTCTGTGGGCGCATCCAGCTGGCAGAAATGGATGGGATTGGTTTGAAACCTTCTTTAAAGCAGACCCTGGCCTAGCCTGGGGTTAGCTTAAACAACATTCCCCAACCCCCCAACCCCAATTAGTAAATAAAATAGCAATAAATCAATTGTTGGACTACAACAACGCAGTTCTTCACAGAAGCCAGCCTAGATAATGGCCTGGATAATGATCCTTTAAGATAAAATGGGTAGCGATTTCCTGGATCTTTGGGACTAGCAGAGCCAATAAATGAACCAAAGACCAAATGCAAGAGACATTAGGTGCATTTGCAAAGTCCCAGAAAATTGATTGGAAGCCAAATCTAGTAGATGTTGAGAAAATGTTTAGATGTGGCCGGTTAATACGTTTAGCTGCACAGATAGTATCTTTTTCATCTATGCTTAGAGACTTGTGGTTGTATCTTATCTTTTCATTGGTTGGATTCTTCGGTACACCATTATATTTTGATGGCTTAATCAGAATTGCATTATGTCCTAAGGAAGCACATATGGTTTGCTCGTTTCTTTTCCTGGTCTGTGGTCCAGTGGTCTATCGTTCTCAAATCTTGGTGTTCCCCAGCTGTGTTTTCTTTTTAAGAGCACTGGTACAAATTGCTGTTTTGTAAATGGATACAGCCACTTCCGTACGTCATGGCTGGCTTTTAACTCCCATGCTTCTTTCTATGGAGCGATCGCCATCTTAACTTTTCCTCTTTCATCACTGATCCTTTTTCATTCCCACGGAGATGCAATTAAAAAAAACAACAGAGAAAAAGGACAGGGGTGGGAATCCGCAGGCTGTACATTTCATAACCCCTTCTTCCTCTGTGGAAATTTTGCTTCTTGGATTTCAGATCCAGAATTGGGAACAGGAAGGTTCATAAGGCAATCAAGGGGGTGGAAAAATCTTTCTGCCAGCCTGAAGAATCTCACTGTCGCTTTTTTTTCACTCTTGCTTCCTTTAGATGCTAGAATCCCCAGACCCACGCATCACCGATCCACGCAAGACATGGATTTCATTTGTACAGCGTCCAGGTGATGGCAGCAGCTCCAAAAAGAAATGCAAAGGGAAAGATAAAAAAGTAGGTCCTTTCTGGAATCTTTTGGCTTAGCTGGGGATGATAATGGTGACCAAGATGGTTGAGGCATTAAAACGTTGCAGCGGGGAGGTTCTTTGGACTTTCTAACTAGCCAGATGAGCAATTGTTAGCTATCCGTGTTTCCCCCCAAAAATAAGATCAGGTGTTATATTAATTTTTGTTCCAAAAGACGCATTAGGGCTTATTTTCTGGTTGGGTCTTATTTTCGGGAAAACAAGGTTAATAATCAGTGTCAGACGGATGATGTAGGATCTGCAGAAAATGTTGCCGCAGTGAGTGATTGCCCTTAATACGACCCTCCATTGCACGCTAGAGCTCCTTCCTTAATTTTCCTTGCTGGTTTATTTTATCTCCACGATCTTTCCATGATCCAGGGTTTTCATGGGCTCCTTCTCTTGAATATCCTCTTTCGGTCTCACGTGGAAATGCATGCGCACAAGAGAAGAAGGTCCTTCCGCCTTTCCTGCAGTCATTAGTCAGGAGGCACTGATCTGATTCCCAAATGACATTTCCAATGTGAATCTGGTTTGTGGCAGATCTGTGAGGTCTCTTTTCTTCAAGGAGCTGTCGGCGCTACGCCAGGGTTCTTTTGGTCGATGCCTTTCTGCTCATTTTTCTCAGCCGTGATTTCAATCTGTCTCATTTCCGTTTCCATTTGAGAAAACCCCACACCTCCAGAGAAGCTTTCTTCCCAATACTGTATACAATTTCGAGGGATGCAGTTTTGCTTAATGGGCCGTGTGGACAATTTTCTCCGAAATGGGTGCTATTTTCTAAAATGGGTGTTTTTTCACCGTTACATACGTGTTAGTCTCCAAAAAAAACCCACTTTACCTAAAGATGGAATCAGCAAAAATAGCATGGATGTAGTCACCAAATTTGATTTTACTCAGATTAAGGGGAAATATGTTCAGAATGGAAGCTTTTTCATGAAAAAAAAAAAGAAGGGAGGGTTTGTATGCACCATTACTTTTCTTCTGAACATCTAACAAAGCTGCTCAAGTTTACACTTTTCTTTTCTCCGTTGTCCTCATCTTTCCCTAGATAGATAGATAGATAGATAGATAGATAGATAGATAGATAGATAG